AGGAAAGCAATGCAAATATAATTTTCATTTAACAAAAATATTTTTAAATTTCAATTTCAAACCGCTCTCTCTCTCTCTCTCTCTCTCTCTCTAAGATTGCAAAACTCATAAGTAATGAAAATATTATTTTGTCTTAACACTGATTATACACTTTTTAAATATAAAAACTAAATAAAATAAAAACAACAAAAAACAATAACTTATAAATAGAGGCAACATTTTCTACGCAAATCATTTGTTAGTTATTTTATATTAATATAAGTATTTTAGTTTTATCTATTTAACTTAATTAATTTATTTTTAAACGTTGTGTATTTATTTGATTTAGTTAATTTTAACAATTTTATTTTGTTTTTAAATTTTTATTTTAAACTAATTTATATTAATATAATATTAATAATATATGGCCCGTCGATTATCATTTGATTTAACTAGAAACTATAGAAATGGTGATGTTGAACTAAATTCACCTACCACGCCAGACACACCATCACCACTATTGACCAAGCAGCATAATAATAATAAATGGCGTTTAAAGTGGCCGGACTTTTGTTGTTGTAGCAAGGACAAAAATGTAAATTAAAACATTTTATATTAATTAATTACAATCATTGATTATAAAATGCTATAATTTATATTGTGCAATTTTGTAAATTTTATAAATCAATATTAATTTAATTTTTTAACAAAACGTATTAATATTAATCTGTTATATTTTTAAAAAAAGTAATTATTATAAAATATTTGCTGGTACAACTTTTGAGACCGGATGTAAAGTTTACATTATTTTTAGTACAAAACTGGAAAATTTACCATGAGTTTAATAATTTTATTAAGTTTAATATATAAAAATTCCACTCAACCAGTATATACAATCCTGCTTGCAATATTATATTTACGTAATAATTTTAGTGTAAATGACAATGACAATTAAAAATTAAATCAGCCAACTTGGTATTAACCAGTCAAGATGATAATAAAAATAGTGAAAATTACATTAAAAATTTACAATAGAACATATGATACAAGGAAAATTTTTTAATTTTTAAAAATCTTACCTAGAACAATGATCCGAGCAAAAAGGAGATGGACCTATCTAAAGAGGTCACTATTCAAGAGCACATGTATACTTTTGAAAAGCTATGCTCAGAGCTGAAAACCGATCTAGATAATGGAGTGACCGATAGCGAGGCCAGCTATCGATACGCCCGAGACGGACCCAACGCGTTTACCCCACCTAAACAAACGCCCTGGTTCATTTTGCTCGGTCGCGAAATGAGCACAGCGTTTGCCATTATCATCTGGATCGCATCGGCTATTAGTTTAATATGCTTTTTCGTTAGCGAACCCCGCAATATGCAATACGTATGTGGTTAATTTGTTATCCTAATTTAACTAGATCTATTATATTTAGTTTACAATCACTAATATAAAATAAGTAAAAGTTTATATATTTTTCAAGTAATAGTGTTTTAATTTAAAACTCTCTAAAATTGTAAATGTACTTTTGGTTAATTAATAATTTTATTATAATTGTCCCACATAGTATATTATAACCATAGCGTTAGCGTTGGTTGTAATAATCACGGGTCTGTACTCGTACTCGCAACAGGCCAGCAGTGCCGAGATATTCAAGTCGTTCAAAAGCATGGTACCTCAGGTACGTACATAAAAAACACATAAACATCATATTTGTATTTTTGTAAATGCTAAAACTTATCTATTTCAAACGCAGGCAACAGTGGTAATCAGAGGGGGCAAGCGGATAGAGGTGCCCGCCGACCGGCTAGTCATCGGCGATCTGGTCTACTGTAAGGCCGGCGACCGGATTCCGGCCGACATCCGTATCGTACGGTGCGAGTCAATGAAAGTGGACAACTCGTCGCTCACCGGCGAGTCTGACCCGCTGTCCCGGTCGCCAGAGGTGGGCCACCAGAATCCCCTGGAGGCCAAAAATCTAGCCTTTTTCTCGACCAATTGCGTGGACGGCTCCGGCTATGGCATCGTTGTGGCCATTGGCGACAATACCGTGATGGGTAACATCGCCCGTCTGGTCACAGGTATTAAACAGGAGAAAACACCCATAGGCATTGAGATTAGCAGATTTACCACGATTATTACGGTTATGGCGTGCGTGGATGGGCTCATATTTTTCTGTATTTGCATGGGTTTTAATCTGGGTGCGGTCA